ACAACACCCCATTTTTTCATCACCAATTTCAGGTACCACTCGCTATCACAATTTCTACTTTGCAGTCCCTTTCACTTTTTTATCTCTGTTATTTTTTTTCTTTTTATTTAATTTGGGTTTTATTGGTTTTTATTTTTGTACTTTCTTTCCATGAAGCTATCTGGCATCATGTAATCAAACAATTTCACTAAATGAAAGTCTCAATTAGGCATATATTAAAATGGGTTATATTCAAGTTGAGTGGAGTCCAGCAACACTTTGCCTTTATTTTGGTCAAAGTTCAAGCCAAATCCGAGTTTGGCTTCTTACTCTTGGTGGGTTCTAGGAAAAATTATTAAGTAACTCAGTCAATCACATAATTCACCCATGGATGAAATTAAGAAAAGATATCCATATTTATGGAGTCAGGGGAATGCTATGGACTGTCTCTGCTGATAGTCTAGGTAGCTGTTTTCCTCGAAGTTATTGCATTGCACAAGTCTTCATTAACAAACTCTTATTTCACCTGTAGTTGGGATCCAGATTATTCTGCTTTGAGGCAAATTTACAAGCAGTTGATATGCATTATTTTGTTGGGACTGAGTTGTTGCATTGTAAGGGGGAGGAGTTCATGAGTTTTTCCTTTAATGTTAGTTCTTACGTAAATCTTTAATGCCTTATTAATTAGTTTGTTGAATGCCCTGGAAAATCTTGTAAGGAATCATTTCAATTAACTTGTTATTGCTGTAAGTTAGGGTAGTTGGTTCTTGTTCTATTGATGGCTGACAAATGAAATCCTTAAGGGGTGCAAAACTTAAAGGAATATCTATACTTTAAGATGAGTTGAACTGTTGAGACTTTGTTTTTGCTAGCTGAAGCAACAAGTTCAGTTGTAGCTTCTTAGTTGGGTGCAAAAGAGCGCCAAAAGAAAGAATTGGATCTAGGCTGTCTAATTTGTTATCGGATCAGAAGATGAAAACTTCTTGAATTTAAATGGAGTGCTTCACACTATTGTAGATGTGATCCAAATAGCCTACAATGAAGAGAAGTGTTGAAAATGAAGACACTTTTGGAATGGAACTCTTTATTCATATTGCTCTATCAGTTAATGGGGCATGTGGAAGTTTCTTGTAGCCCAAACTAACCTGATTGTTTCTTTTGAGCCATTGTAAGATTTTTGTTTGATTTTGTTTTGTGATAATTTATAATCAGTATTTTGGCCTTGCAATGAAAAAGAGGCCCTATTATTCTGACAAGCCTATTAAAGATGCAAAGTACAACTTTTAAAGCCAAGGTTCTGAATAATCAATGGAGACTTTTAAAGGAGCTTTCTGAATCTAATCTGGAAATTCTATTGATGTGCTGATGAAATTAAAGTTCAAGGATACTCTGTCAATTAATATTCTAATTATGCTGAATGTTATAGGAAATTGAAAACTTAATGTTGAGAAATTTTCTCTAAGAAGATGAATATGCTGATCTGCTGCATGCATTCTTTATTGTCCATCCAATTATGCTTTTAATGCTTCCTATTAGCATTTCCAGACCTCTTGCTATCTGTTAAGTTCACTAGTGCTCCTTTCCACTTCTAGCATATCTAGAACTATTATACGGTTACATTTTTGATGCTATACATGCCCCAATGCAGTCTTAGAGTATGCAGAACACTTGCACGAAATTATATTTGTTAAATAATTTTCTGATAATTGATGTCTCCCTCCATTTCTCATGCTATATCTTCCTAGAGGGTTATTCAACCTCAACGATGAAGACAAACTGCGAGTGGGCTTTGTTGGATTTCTGATTCCTTGATGTTCTGCCCAGCTGCATGTTTTTGAAGCTATTTACTGATTTTGAATGGAAATGAGAATAAAGTTGCGGACGTGAATAATAAATTCATTCCACCTCACTTAAATTGTTGTTTAGAGCATGATGTTTTGGCCATTATTCGACGTGTTCAGCAGTAACTTCTCAACTGTTGCGGCTATTGACACGGCAACACGCAGGTGTTGGATCAACACTTTTGCAGTTGCATGCAGGCTCTCTTCTCCACTCTATATAAACACTGGTTGCCAGCAGTCTCTTTGCAAATATATCCATCCATCTTTCCTTTCTTCACTTTTGTTATTGCTAGACTTCCTTTTCCGCTTACAAAATTCGTGAAGTTTTCAATTTAAGAAACTATTAGATTCATAATGGCGATGAATGTTATTTTCATTTGCTGACATGGAGAGTTTTCCTTGCTATAGTTTCCAGAGTCTTGCTGAAGTTGCTCTGTAAGTCAAATGCTTTAGTTCTGCATTATGCTTCGTGCATGCAAAGATCGTTCCAATTAAATTGCTTTATCATTATTATATTGCAAATAAAGATGCGATCATTATGTCCATCAAGCACTTAATGTGTCCTTCGTATCTCTATTAAGTAGATTTCATGAAGAAATTTTGTTCCATTTTCTTTCCTATTATTTGAATCTTCAGCTAATCTCTCTCTCTCTCTTTTTTCTCGTGTTGGATTGCTTTTATATGGTTAAAACATTTTAATACGTATATAGTATTCCTGATTTTACCTAAGACAATAAATCTCTCTGGTGAGTTCAGACACTGATATTACATTTTAGGCATCCTTGTCAAACTTGCTCTTCTTTTTCTTTCTACATGTAATTCAAGCATGGCTATGCAAGGTGAAGGGTCTGATTGGAAACTTTGGGAAAGTAATGGCATGAATGAAGATGGTAGGAGGCCTAAAGATTTTCTCCCAGCAGAAGATATGTTTTTTATTTGAAGCAGGATACGGTTTTAGGTGCAAATTTTTCTTTTTAGGAAAAAAACTGTCATTGCCTTTTGACAAACTTGGAAAGTACTGATAGTGACTTTAATTTCAATATTACTTCTTAAAGCAACCATGAGAGTTCTAAAATATGTGATTATGATTTACAGTTGTCAACGAAAGTTAAGAAATATGCCATGTTTACACAAATTCATGTATCATTTTGGCTTAAAATTGGAGATTTTCCATCTTTAGCAGTATAAAAGGAAAACTTTGGTCTACCATTACATGCATACATGGGAAACAATGTTTAACCTCGTGTCTATATCAGTTTCTCTTTGTAATTGGTGGTTTCCTCTGCTTCAATGCATGGGAACTTATTCAAACAACTTTCTGTGTTCCATTTGCAATAGCAGAATCAGAAAAGAGTTTCAATGCATAACTTTTGCTACTTTTACAGTGTGTAATGCTGAATCTGGGGTAAATAAAGCCTGTATTACATGAGGCTGCTGAGTTTTAAAAAAATAAAAAATAAAAAGAATTCCCTAATGATGTTAGTTACTGCTTTTATTTGTTGGAATCAGAGGAATGCATGAATTCCCAAAAAAATAGATAACTCAAATGGCAGTGAGATTTTCATGTGGTAATTGATCTTTCTCTTTTAAATCTTTTTTCAGAACATTAGAAATCAATAAATTTGCATGAACTTTAATTCCATGAAAATGACATGAAAGATGATCTTCAAGAAACATGGGGGTTCCTAAGCACCTGGTTTCTTTTGCATAGTGGAATGAAATCATACGTTATGTCACATTGATGTTTATAAGAGGATTGATTGTCTTGTTTATATCTAATGCAGCCTGCAAATAGAAGCAACTTTAAGCAGTGGACATTCTCAACTGTTGAAAACCATGAAGGAGCTGACAGCAAACTCATCCAAGGTGACTCTTTTAGGACATAGCTTAGCCTAGTTTAATGCTCAATGACCTGCAAAGAGATCTGATCAAGAAAATTTTATTTTGACAAATATATTCCACATCTTGCACTTTGATGCCCTTATTGATCAAATCATTTTAGCTCCTATGCATTCATATTGATATGTGGCCCCCAATTTATTCCTGTTTGTCCAATTTCTGTGGCACCTCACATCAACTCTTTTGGCATATTTGACCACTGATTCTGAAAGAATAGTCTGTTTTATGATTTTCATATGGTACTTTTTTTGTAGATGTCTCAAGAGACAAATCAAATATATCCCGGCATGTCTTTGTTTCTTATTTTCTGCATGTGCGTGTGCCTGTGACTGTGTGCAAATATGAGCAGCACATCATACTACTTTCTTTTTCATGGTTTGATTATAATAATGATTGCTGCTTTGGGATGATTTGCCTTTCATTTAAGAGGACTTCAGAATTTTATTAGAAGAATTTTAGTAATAATTCACTTGTACGATCACTGCCTCGTCACCGTTTTATTAAATCTTGGCTGACTAATTTACAGTTTTAGTGACTGATCAAACTTTCTTTTAATATCTTATATGGCATGGCCTTGTCTCCATTTTAAAGAGTGTGGTGCTCACATTAGTCACTCGATCCCTATATCGACTGCATGTTTTCTGCATGTCTAAATCTAAGCTCATAAGTACACTTTCACTTGATGCAGGATGCACTTGGTCCTGAGTCCTTGACCAACTTGATGACTACCAAGGGAGTGGCTGAAAACCATGACAAACAAATTGCAATTTCAGTTTTCACCTCTCAATTTTACTCACATTCTAAACATTAGTACCCTCTTTTACTCACATTCCTAACATTACATAACCCCTTAATTAGTTATAAAAATTAGGAATATAATATTTACTATAACTGACTGGAATAGTACTTAGAAGTGAATGTTTGAGCTAAATAAAACAAAGCTAACAGAGAGAAATTGCCAAAAGAGCAGAAGATGCCGGATTGGTGCTCTCCGAAAGATGGAAACAGACTGGAAGTTACTCGTCTTTCCAGTCAATTTCTTTATAATTAGGGGATGCACTAGAATCTCTGTGCATGAGAATAGACAATCATGGAATTACCATAGTGCACAGGCTTCAGGCTCTAGGCTTTACCTTTTCCTGCTACTGAACACTCTCTCTAACCACATAACTCTAGGCACACTGGCATTAGCGTGTGCTGTGGAGGGAAAGAGA